TATTTCCTTTCAGAAAGAGCTCTACGGAAGCAGTCATCCTCTAGCAGATAGCACGAGTGTGGTTTGTCATAACCTAAATGTCACTAGTAGATATGTCCTAATCCACTTCAGTTCTTTTAGGTTGGTGCTAGTGTAATATCCGTTGAATTCAATCATGTATTTAGTGGTTGCGAAAGAAAGTAAGCGCTGAGCTTCGTACAAAATTTTGTATATCGTGTGACAGCGTTACATGTGAATGATGCAACTTTATTGTATTTGTTTCTTTCAACGAACATTAACCGTTGAACAGTCACGTCTTGTCTTAAATCACTGCTCACTGCAATTTTTAGATCTTGGAGTGTCAAGGGAGGCATTTCAGGCACTTTATTTCAGCTTATCTCATATGCTAAAATATCTTTCACATGCTCAATCAGGTTCAAGCCTGGTGAGTAAGTTAGTCAATCCGCTCCAGTGATATCTTCTGTTTTGAGGTATTCGTATACCAAAGAGGCCCACCAGCGGAAGAGCGGTAAAGTCGCTGAACACTGGTAGTTCGGTCCGAGGTTCGAATCCCGCGAACGGGCTGGCTGTATGGGTTTTTTCGTGGTTTTCCCATGTGTAACGTGTATACGAGCCAGTTTCCCTTGGAAAATCCTCTACGAAGGCATCCCTTCCCTTAGGCAGATAGCCCTAGTGTGCTTTGCCATAATTAAATACACCACACCACACACGTATACCAAAGATGCTCGATACAGACGAACACTTTTATCCATTAATAAAATATCTAGGCTCCTAAACATGTTTATCTGGATTTCAAAACCTCATCACATGTCATCAGGTACAGAATCCCCATCAAAGATACAAAACTGGCTCACCAGCGGCCAAGCGGTGAAGTCCCTGAAAAGTGGTAGTTCGGTCCGGGGTTCAAATCCCGGCGAAAGGGCGTTTTCGTGGGGATGTGCATCATGGATATTTGCCATTTTAAACGTCCTCCACGGAACATAACTTCCTTTTGTGAATACCATTATGTGTTCATGCTGTAATAAAACAAAATTTACATGCAGCTCAGTGGCGTCGGTTTTGAAGGTTCCTCTCCAATTTATGAAATTGCTTAGATGGAAATGTGATCATTCAGGGACAAAAAAAGCAAGGTGCATTTTTCTCACTTCCTACAGATAAAAACACGCCTTTTATCACGTTTAGAATGCACCTGGACTGGTTAGTAAATAGTATACATTTTGTGACACCACACATTAAATGAGCTGCTTTGAAAGGAGAATTGAATGTCATTCAAACCATCCATTGCTCTTCTCGCCCATAATCCAACCTCGCGAAACTTTTCTGCAGCAGTAGACTAGGCAATTCGTGTTTCTGTAGCAGCTTGAAGGTTTAAGACCAATTCTCTTGTAGTCGCGGTTCACCAGCGGCCGAGCGGTAAAGTCGCTGAACACTGGTAGCTCGGTCCGAGGTTCGAATCCCGCGAAAGGGTTGGCTGCATGGGTGTTTTCGTGGTTTTCCCCATGTGTAGCGTGTATACGAGCCAGCTTCTCTTAGAAAGTCCTCCACGAAGGCATCCCTCCCCTTAGGCAGATAGCCCTCGAGGCTTTGCCGTACTTAAATAACCTAACCTAACCTCTTGTAGTCGCTCTGGGGGTTTCTATGAGTCGGCAGTGATAGAAAATAAGCCTTTGGATGAGGTAGTTGCTTTTTGTTGCCCTTAATCAGGCTGTTCGAAAACTGAATCACTGCTTAAACAATAATTCCAAGTTCTTCATATGATCCTTTGAGAGATAATTAGATCTAGGATAACTTAGAGTTATATTTGCCTCACCGAAATTTATCACTGAACTGCCGCTTTTTACATTCTCTTAAGTGATGCTTTTGAGTCAGTTTAAGTAAAAGTAATTACATAATAAGTCTTCTTACATAAAAGTAATAAGTCTTACATAATTTATTTGACTCAGCTTGTTACCAAGTAAGAAGCATAAAACTGTAATAATTGCAATTATCGCAACAGTACTGCGATTTGTCTCTAATAACATGCATTTCTAATCTAATCGACGAATCTGCTGGCTCCCATGCTTAAACGTTCGTATATTTCTGTATTCCAAAGAACTATGATTTCAAGGAAAAATTTAAATCATTAAGGGGGCAGTAAGTAAACATCTTTTAGAGGGGCATGCGAAATTCGAATTCGAACGGGCGGGCGTATTTATAGAGGGATATATATATATATATATATATATATATTCTGCTTAATTTCTAAGAACAAAGGAATAATTTTTAAGCTTTTTTTTTCTTACAGTCTTCCTGAGTTTATTAGTAAAAGTGCATTTTTTTAAACTTCTCTGACACGCGCGTTTGTGAAATTTGACTTCAAAGTTTATGTTTACTTTAGTTTTAATTTTATGTTTTACTTTATAAATCAGGAACCACTCTCTTTTTGTATCTGAACCACTCTATGTTGATCCTTAGGATGTGATTTAATACTCATTTAATAGTAATTGTTCACACTTATCATTTAGGCTTGAGGCATCCACTTTGAGAAACACATGCATATCAGTGTAAACTGAATCAATATTGTTAATAATTAATAACAAAGATGCTTAAATTTAGCAAAGCAACAACATTGTATTTGGCGTAGATTTAATAATTTCGAAGGTAAATAAGTACCGGTCTCTCTTCATCAGGAGCAACAAAATCTGCAAAATTAAGTCTTTTCTTTGCTCCTGTTGGAGAGGTGCCTGTACTCGTTTACCCTCGAAATCGATTGAGTTTTTGACTAAATCTACGCCAAATACAAGGTTGCTTTGCTAATTTTATGTTTCACTTTGGCGTGTATCCTTTCTGTTTTGAACAAAAATGCTATACTGTAAAGTTGAATAGGTTATAAGTATAATTAGAATAACTACACAACTGTAATTTTTAATTATTGCTTAAGCACTGTTAAGTTGCTATATAAATTATTACTTGGACGCCACTAATAGAATTTGAGGGTAATCGCCCAAGAAATTATTAACAGCGCATCAGAAAATTTAATACTTTTTTTCCAAGTTGTGTTAATGCTTCATTACATCATACAAATCAATTATTTTCTTATAACGCCATGGTTTAAATTATGAAAAGAGATTCTGTTAGATATTCCATTAGTTAAATCAAACGGCAAAAAACAATAGGGATTTATCAAGTAATACAGACTCTGTATATAAATTGCTTTAGTGCTAAAAAGTGTTGATTTTCAGTTTATGAGCAAAATGGAGTTTCGTGGTTTAATAAAATCTTGCATTTAGTTTGCAACAGCCAATTTTATGACATATTTAGCCATAAATGTGGCTGTTGTATTTATAATAGAATATCCAATTTAATAATATCTTAATAGGTAATTTTATTATTTATTTAGTGCTAAAATTTTAAAGCAATGCCCACTCATGCGCGCAACAACATGCTTTTGTAGGATGTCCGAATAGGCACATCTTTGAACAAACGTAAGATAAAACCTTCAGTGAAAGAATAATAATACAACTTCGAGAAATAGTCTCGTTCTCAATAGAGAACACGAAATAAAATATACTTCGTTTAGAATGATTCCTTAGTTGAATTCAGTTTCAGTTTCTGATATGAAGAAGAATGTTCCTTGGTAGTTTTAGAAAGAATCTGCAGAGTGGAATTCCGGTAAAAACGCTGTTGCGAAAGACGTACTTAACTTTTCATCATCGTTTGTCTTAGTCTTAAGCTGTATATGACGAAGAGAACTCCTGAAACGAAGACTGTCCTAAGAAGTCTCCAATCGGTGAATTTCTGAAGGCAAATAATTATTGTTTTCTACTCCCAAATAAGAAACCACTGGTACACAGTAGGAAGGAAAAATAGTCCTAATATCTGAACCCTAAGACATAGTACCTAAATCAATTCGGAAGTCAGGGAAAGATCGAGAATTTCATGTATTATAAGTGCATGGCCTAAGTAGGATTTGTTGGCGATAGAGAAATAATAAGATAACTAGTGATGAATTGATATAGAATTTTACCAATGTTGTTGGCACTGCAGTTCTAAATTCTATGCCTACTTTTAAAATCTCCTTACTATGGCTAGAATAATTAGAATGGAGTCATTAAATATTCCCTTGAGTTGAAAATCCATTGGAAGGCTGGCTATAAGTGTCTGCATGCCTTCGTGGTGTAACAGTTAGCACACTCGGCACATATTCGAGAGGTCCTGGTGAGGGAATTGCTCATTTTTCATGTCTCCTTCTTCCAAATAGCCCAATGTTATTAAAATTGCCTTGTTAACCAATTGTCTTCTCAGCCAATTGATTGTTAACCAATTTTCTAACGAGGCTATGATTGTATAAATCACAAAACATCATATTACCAGAGTTTAACATAAATTGAAATTGCAGTTTAAATGAAAAGTTATTTGTTATTGCAGTTAATTATGCATGAGAGAGCAGAGTTTTTATCAGAAATCACTACTCTACCGCCTTTTATGTCTAATTTTATCTCACCGATGCGAGATAATTAGGAATGTGAATTTTAATACATAGAGTTAAGGAGTCTTCATGATCATGCACATACAGTGCGTTTGCAAAGTTTCAGATTTGCAAATTCTCAAATCTGTAATTCGTATTATTGCTTCTTTTCTCCATAAGAGATAATTCCGCGTCCGAATTAGAAATGAGAAGGCGGGTGGAGAAGTAGTCAAATGCTTAATTCTAGAAAATCACGATTATGTTGAAATTGGTTGTAAATATTTTCTAATACTATTTTGTTCAGCGTCAGAATAGCTGTGCCTTCGGTAAGGAATAATATTTGAATTTTAAGTTGTAAAGAATAATATTTGAATTTTAATTTGTTCGCCGCTTCCCCATTTCCAATAGGGACGCGGCGCACAAATCTTATACGAGGCATGAAAAAAATGAAATGAAAATTCGATATAAATTCTTTAAGCAACATATTTCAGTTTTTAATACTATAATTTAGGCTTACGAATAAACTTACAAATATAAATATTTACTTCTGTAGGATGGCAACGGTACAATAGAAAATGAAGAACTGAAAGGATTTCTAAAAGATCTCTTAGAGCTGGTGAAGAAAGTAAGTACAACTTCTTTTTCTTACTAAATCTTAAACAAAATAACTTAAATCATCAATAGATCAGCGAATAATATCAATTTAAGTACAGTTTTTGTAAGGTAATAAATTCGGAAAATTTGAAGAATGACATAGAAAAATGTATGAAAAGAAGCTCAATTACTTCTTCAAAAATTGATGTTGGAAATTTATTTTCAATTACAGTTTTTTTTTTCAATGAAAGTAAAGACTTTATGGAAATCCTCTGGTTAGGAAGATTCTAGAAATATATTAAATCCAACTTTTTTTCAATATATCATTCCCTAAGATTTTTTTTTTCCAATGATCGTATTGTTAAGCATTGTTTCGAGGCACTGTTTGAGATACTATTGGACATTTGACGTCTCATCGTCGAATATGTTCTCCAGGATGCACCGTAAAACTGTAGACCGTTATTACACTCGTAAAAGGGGGAAAGAGCAAACACAATCATTCATACCTCCCCAGAGACCCGAATTTGCCATCAACGCTGCTGGCATCATTAATCACCATACCGAACAGTAGAGCCCGTAAAACGCAAATTATATTTGTTGTGATGGCTTTAGGTAACCATTTTTTCTTCACATACACACATTCATGAAGACTTTTCATTATTTAATTTATTTAAATATAATACAAGGCGATAATTTTTGGTAGCAACAATTTAAAAATTGATTCGCCGTTTATAGTGAAACGCCACAAAATGCCGTCTTGAGACTAACATCCCTTCTGAGCCAACGCTCCTTTGGGCTAATAATTAAAAAAACAAAGTGTGTGAAAGGGCTCAGATTTTATCGGTTTGGGCCAAGAAATCTCTTTTAAATTTTAATATGGTTTATCGATAGAGATATCGCAGATAGATTAGCGAAACATTTTTTGTAGAATATTAGATGAATATGCATCTAGATTTAACATTGGAACATTATATATATTTTACATAACGACTGAAAAAATATGTAATATAAACATATTACATATTTTCCATTATAAATATGGAAATTATTTACAATGGAAAATATTATTATATATATGGAAATATTATTATTATTTTTCATGGAAAATATTATTAATAATGGAAATTATTTTATAATGGATTAATATTTAAATAATTTTATATTTAAAATAATATAAAAATTCCATTATAAAATATGATTTATAATGGTTTTAATCCATTATAATAACGATTTATAATGGTTTTAAGTAGATATATCATGAATTAAATGCATTTTTATTTAAATTAATCAGATTAAAAGTAACAAAATAATATTCTACAGAACTGCCCTATTGATTTTAAATGCTTAAACTTGTTAACTAATTTCAAACAGATTAAATGTGAAAGAATAATATCTTCGTTTTTCAGAATGGCAAGAGTCTCGAGTAAAAACTGAAAAAAACGCAAAACCATATTTCTAGACTAAATAGTCCTTTTGAACTAAAAAAAAAATTATTTAATTTAATTCAACAGAAATAATAAATTATGTCTTTTATTTTGTGCAGATAAAAAATAATTCGTATGTTTAATTTTACTGCGTGAACATAAAAATAAAGACAGATGTTTAATTTTTAAAACCTACTTTAATAAAAATTAAATTTTGTCGCTGCATTCTTTAGCAGTGACTAGTAAAAAATTGTCATATTCTTTACTAACAAAAAGAGAAAGCCATGTCATTAGAAAGAGAAAAAGAGAAAGACAAAGGAAGAAGAAAGAAAGGAAAAAATGATGTCATCAGCTTCGGTTTTTAAATTTTTTCGCTAAAAGCAGAAAAAATAATAGCTTCGCAAATTGCTGCGGTTAAAAAAAAAAATTCCTTCTTTAAAAACGAGACAGAAAAACAGGAATTATTTTTTATTCTAACAATTTAAAGTAAGTATTATTATATTCAAAATACAGTGGTTTCGCAGGGTCGAAAATTTATTACTGTTCGTCATTTAGACATTTTAGGCGTCCATTAGACGTTTTATCCATCTTCTAACCGCCATAATATCTTCTGCTTAGATAGAAATTTTACTATTTGAATTTATAGTCTGACCTTTAATGCGAGAAAGATACACAGTATGTCTACTATTAACTTTTAGGATTAAGATTAAAAAACAAACTCCAAGTAAGCGACCTTCGCAAACTGTGGACATCGGCAAGTCAGTAAAAACTTCGCCAAAAGAACGTTTGAGTCAAGGAACACATCAAGGAAGAGAAAAAAATGTGCGTGGTTACTACAGTCATTATTTTGCTGTTCTAATATGTTAATTTTACTTATTTATTTGTATGTATCTGTGTGTGTTTCTGAATAAAAATACTTTATTGTGAAGGCAGTTGTTGAGTCATACGTTAGTTACCATTATTTTACGAGTTGTTCAGCTTTCTACATCGTCTTCACCAACGCCACTGATATTTCGCCGTTCAATATCATTAACTACACTGGTGTGCAAAAACTAAGGAAGAGATGGTTTTTTCAATATAACTTTGTACAAAAGCTTTCCAAATCAACACATTTAATACCGTAAGATCCCCAATACATGAGTAATGTAAGCAACACTTACTAAAAGAGAAATCAGAGTAATAAAAAGAAGCTTTATTGAAAAGGTAGCACGGAGCGCAATGCAACTGAAGGCCGAAACATCCCTGTGATGGGTGTCCAGCAAGAAACATCCGGTCTTTAATAGGGGATATGATCTCCCCTGACTGCTAGGCAGGTTTCACAGCGTCTGCCCATGCTGAGAATGAGGGTGTCAATGAGTTGTTGAGGCATTGCTGCCCATTCTTCGCAGCGCCAATCGAAGCTCCGGAATCGTTACTGGTGGTAAGGTACGAGCTGCCAAGCGTCTGCCTAAAAAATCCCATACATGCTCGATGGGATTGAGATCCGGAGATCGTGCCGGCCAATCCATACGTTCAATATCCTCACTCTCTAAGAGCTGTTCGGCAGCTACTGTGCGATGACATGGTGCATTGTCGTCCATGAAAAGGAGCTGCGGACCCATAGCGCCTCTAAAAGGACGCGCATATGGAAGAAGAATCTCGTTACAATAACGGGTCCCGTTGACTGAACCTGCGTCGAAGATGTGAAGGTCTGTACGACTACCAAGCATGATGCCTCCCCAAACGAGAACACCGCTACCTCCATACGTGTCCCTTTCAATGATTTCGAGGGATGATTGCGGCTTCCCCCCTCTTCCAATTAGTATGCGTGAGAATCGCTACTCAGACTGAATCTGCTCTCATCTGTAAAGAGTACTCGTCCCCATTCATGTCTCTCCAATTCCGCTGTTCCCGGCACCACATCCCGCCTTCTCCTCTGTTCAGGGTTTTTACACACCGTACAGGGCGTCGTGCAAACAGACCACCACCGTGCAGTCTTGGCCACGGTAAAAAAACGCGATATCGGTCGTAGTCGCCTGTGTCGTGTGTCTAGCGATTTCTCCGCTGTCTGCCGCTTGTTTTTCTTCTGGCCTGTAAGCAATATAACCGTCATCTGCGGATTGGTTCCTCGTGAAGACCACTACTAAACCTCCTATAGCTTTTCCTGTAATTTGAAATTGTCTCCAAAGTCGTGAAACGATGCTGTGAGCATTCCGAACTCTGCAGCCACACTTTGTCACACTGCGGCCCTTCCTCCAACTTCCCAATGATCGACCTCGGGTAAAAGCATCCAGATGTCGTCTAACAGATTGATTATTCGTCATTTCTCGCTGAGGCAGCAACTCGGTGTGATTTAACTGCTATACGGCGTGCAATCTCTTTGCCAGAAATACTGATCTTACACCGACAACAATGCTTGATACTACTCATAACTCCTCCATTACGTCTACAGCATATTGCGCATATGCTACCGTACATCACCTTACTTATCTCCTGATTGGTCTTTCAGTCCGCTCTGCCTCTTCGTTCAGCTGATATGCTATTTTTCGACTTCGTCCTTAATTTTTGCACACCAGTGTAGTTAGAAACTGGGTGCTGCACGACCCGCCTAGCGTATATGAATTCTTTATTTAGCCACCCTACCATATGGTATGCGGTCGCCTACCAACAAGACAGTTAACATGGATTAAAGAATTTTGGACTGGTAAGAACGATATACCAGGCATAGCTTCTCGTACCACTGAATCCTGTTTAGACGATTTGGAAGATAAGCTACAAAATACTCACGCTATATCATATTATAACGTAAATAAAACTCAGAGCGATTACACTTGTACATATAATGTGAGGTCACGTGAGAAAACTTTCGAAGTAGAAGAGCAAGTGTTAATCTGTGTTCCATGTTCATCACATAAATTACTAAATACTAGGCAAAACCCAGGCACCATCGTAGAGCTTACGAGACTACATCCTGCTTTATTTCGGTTGGAAAATAAAAGTACGAGGCAATTTCACGTAAATAAATTACATACGTATGTGTCTAGAGTGCCAGAGGTAGAGCTAATCTTTGAACAGGGTGATAACTTTGGAAATATACACTACGCTTCCATTGATATATTAAAAAAACAAGAATATATTAGAAAGTACGCTAAAAATTTTAACCAACTAAATTAACCACAACGTCATGAACTCGTTAATATATTATGGCTGTTTGGAGATGTTTTAGTAGAGGAAGTACTGCAGAAATTATGATCAAGCAATTTCTAGCAAATAAAAGTACCATAATTCTCAGTTATCCCCATCACTCATTACATTTGGCATCTGTAAACTACCTTCTTTTCCCTAAAGCTCACATCTGACCTTAATATCATTGGAGGCATTCAAAAAACCGTAGCTACTAAATATGAAACGGACATTCTGGGTGATTCGACGCAAAATCGCAAAATGATAACAATAGTCCCTCAGAGACAAAGCCCATTTTAACAAAAAACGCTTTTGTGGCGGCTAAAGGAAACTAACTGATATTTATACGTATATCTGTTATACGTAAATCTCAGGAATCTAATGATTGAAAAAGAGTTAACTATAAATGCAGCAAAGAATGACCTTCAATCCCAACGCCAAATCAAGTTTCTAGTTAATTTTCTGCAATAAATACATACACTAAAGTGCATTGTTTCCCATCTAATCACATGAAATTCAATAATTGGCTGAGATTTATCAGTTTAGGGTCTTCCAACTTTAGATCAACGAGTGCTATACGTGTTTCCGGGCAGAACATGGAAAACTTGAGCGTAGATCTGACACTCCTATTTCGTCTTTTGCCATGGTATTGCCATTGCGGAGATCTTCATCCTAATCTGTTCTGTTTAGTCATTGGGCTATTGTTAAAATTACTTGGCATACAAATGTATACTCTATTTGCCTTAATGTAAAAAGTTAATAAAAAAGGTAATAATTTACTAACCACATGAAATTTATAGAGCTTTCTGTATATTATGCTTAATTAGTATCGTATATACTAAAGGATGAGTTCAGCGAAGAAATCATGCAGCTGGATGAGTGTGCCGTGCCTTGTACAACCCTACAAAGACTATATAAAGACTATATAAAGGCCTTATAAAGGCTAAGAAATAAGAATGTTCGCAATGTATAGACGTATAAGAATTGTAGAAGAACCTATAAGAATTGTATTGCAAGTAAGAATATTGTTTCCACCAATGTTCAGTTTTGTACGAACTTACTCTAAAACTTTGTAGACACACTGTGCAAGTTACAGCGAGAAGCAGTTTTAAATAAGTAACCATTAGTAAATATTTTTCATGAAAAAAAAATCAAATATGTGAATCGATCTGCTCATTTTACTCTTCGTAAATGCGTTTACTGTGATTTTCCAGAACAAATTATTACATTTAATTAAATCTATTGAACAAGACGCAATCAACTTGTGATTATTATTACTTTTTAGCCTAGGAAAAAATATCCTTTGAAAACTCGCATTAAAATAAATTGTTTTTCTCTTTTTTAGCTGTCCAAAATTAATTAAAATGGAAATTTCTGTTACAACACCAAAACCTTTATTTTTAGATGGTTGGATACTTCTAAACTGCCTTTGTATTGTTCACCCTATTAAATGGCTGTGGTATTTTTACAGATCTATAGGATTATTGTTTACATTGTAACAAATATAGTTATAGTTTTAATTTTCATATGTTAACATTTACCCTCAATAATTGGGTTTTTAACTCTTTCTATATGGTTTTACTTTAGCTTGATTTCCCAGTTTGTTAGCTGGTTTGCTTGTTTGGATCAAATCTGAAAATTTATTTTTTGAGCCCCTTCTACTGAGACGATTTCCTCGAAATTTTTCTCATATTCACATTTTCGATGACATCATCATTTGCAATAGATTTTTTAAAATTCGATCTAGCCTCTTCATTCTTATTTAACGTTGAATTTTTCTTATATGTCTTTGCTTAACGATCAAACTAATTTTCGTACGATTTCTATCTTTACACCATCACAAATATTAAAAGAAAAAAATTTCAAATAATTATGTCACATAATGTCTTAAGTAATTTACCAGATTTTAAGGATTTTTCAAAAGCAGTTCGACTTTTCTTTAGTCACTATGTGACTCCTTCTACGTTCAGAGATGGTGATTTTCTTCCTTTATTACTTAGTCTTCATTCAATAGAATAAAAAGTATAAAATAAAATGTATAAAAAAATACTTTTCAAGCTATACGCTTTTAGATGTACACTTATTAAATGTACTAAAAAATTATTATTTTCTACTGTCATATTTTTGGCTCTATGCGACGATTGTGGGGCCCTATACAAGAATTCTTCTATTGAGGTTTTGACAGAATTTCAAGGAGAAGTATGTGACAATATAAAAATGTCATACATAAGTATGATAATATGCAATTCACTTAAATTTCTCTTTGAAAATTTCAGTTTTAAAATCTGCTTCTGTTAGCGTTTCCGTGAAGTTATTTTTGGTCGCTTATAACCAAGGATATTATGATGGTAAAATAAACTACGCTTTTATTTTTAAGTGCATTTAGCTAAACAGTGTAATAAAAAAATTTACGTGATGTTTTAGTATAGTGAATTTTATTTTAAGCGATGAAAGTAGGCTAACTGTTTTTTCTCCAAAATGAAGAGAAATTCGTGTCAAGTTCTCTGGAACTGCATATACCGTTTCTTTAAACATTTTTTTAATATAAACTTCTCCAAAATGAATTTCATTTTCTTAATTTTTTTAGGATTATGATGCTCAAGACCTCCAAGAGTTTCAAGAGGCCATTCTGAGGGGATGCGATTTCAATAAGGATGGCAAAATCAACAAAAAGGAGCTAACCATGATACTCTTGGCCCTTGCCAAACACTCCCAAGAAGATGATGTTAAATAAGTCGTCGACTCCTCCAACCACTCTTGCCAACAATCATTCTACTATTGTATTTAAAGAGTCAAAAAGCAAAAGCAGCCTAACTCTGTAATTTTTTTATTTGCATTATTGTCGCGTTAGGTTACAAATTATTCTCTGGCTGCATCGAACGCGTACCTCTTTCTTTTCTCTAACCTTCAAACGTAATAATCCTTTAAAAGACTGCAAATGAATGATTAATTATTCGTAGTGACATCCAGAAACAGTGTAATACTTATGACAAGTTTAAAAACTGAAGGCCATTGATTTCACATACGCATAACTTCCGATGTTTCCATATCAATAAAAATTCAAGCATATCACATTTTCTCTAAAATAAACAAACTTTAAATTAAACAGTTTTTCTCATTACAGGAGCATCTGTTTTTTCAATTTATTGAGGTGTGTCCATTGGGGGCTGTGGATAATACCTCAATGAAGTATAAATACGTTTACCTTTTTACTAACTAAAACTTGTTGCTCAGATGCAATTAATAATATTGACTTTGGAACTAATTATAGTGTTTTAGTCAAAAATATTCTCTAATTTTTTATCGAGATACAAATTTATAGTAAAATTCATTTATTTAAAAAAACATTAACAGAGAATTCGATGCATTTATTCCAGAGATGCAACTAGTCGCCATAAGCTTTAATTTTGAGAATTACGTTTCAATGTTTTAAAGTTTGGTAGTAATAATCTTCAACGTGAGAATTTTTTCTAGTATTTTTTAAACCTACGAATTCTTTAAAGCTTGCATTTTTAATGGTAAAATAGGAAATTAGCCAATTACACAGGTCACTTTTGCACTTTAAGTTGTTGGTTTAATACCTGTGTTTAAATATCTTCTTTACATATCCAAATCGTGTCTTCGGTTTTTAAATAAAATTCGTAAACGTGGCTTTCGTAGATTAAGAAGATTTAAACTGGAGCATTATTACCACAACTCTTTTGGTCATCCAAATTTCATGCATTAAATGTCAATTCGCGCTGTTTTGTTGTGAAAATATTCTTTCCCTAAACATATATAAAATTATAATCAAATTTGCTTGTTAAGGCTTCTGAATGTTCTAATTTCGTATGATGTCTGAATTTTATATTAGGTAAAAACAATGCGAAAAAAATTTGAATCATACTATTCAACATTATTTCTTTGTCACGGTTTTATTTGCATATTTCAGATACTGTAATTAATATTAAAAAAAAAGTCCTGCTTATTTCAGAATTTCTTAGCTCATTAAATAATTTTTTTTAAGATAAAAGAAAAACTTCCCATTTTGAACTTATCAATAGTAAAATTAACTTTTGAAGTGCAGTTCTAAAACCGGCTACATTTTTAAAATCATCTGCTCTTTATATCTTATTTACAAAATTATATTCAAAAAGAAAATTCAGCATTTATACTTTTCTTAAATAAGTAAATTCCTAGGTATTTCCACAAAAAATTTTCAATTTTAAGCTTTTGAGGTAAAGTATCTTAAGGCAAATAATTGTCGAAAAGGGTTTTTTTTTTTTTTTTTTTTTTTTTTTTTTTTTATTATTTATTATTATTATTATTATTATTATTATTATTCAGTGTTACTCAAATATTAATATGATTACATGGAACAATTTTAAGTTGTAAAGTGATGAATGTATTTTCTTTTTAAATTGAGAAATCACAGATGCTCCTTGACTGAGAAATATGACATAATCATAAATCACACTACTACAAAATAGTCATTAAAGGCATACAAATGGATTCATAGAATTAAATGAATCTTCTTGAAAATCACAGTAATAAACTCCTAAAAATGAACGATTTGAGATTTTAATGCGTTTAAAAATAAAGGAATTTAATACGTTTTCTGCATTCAAGAATTATCTTCGAAGATATGTTTAAAAAAAAAAATAAATTCTGTTGCTTATCAAAAAAAATAGATAAATAAGGCTGCAATTGAATTCTTAAAACCTCTAATACCCTGGAATTATTTTTTTCCTGTAAAACTTGAAGAAGAAAATAAAGCCTATTTAGTTTATTAATGGGCCAGCAGTAGCATCAAAATAATATTGTCAGCAATGATTTTAATTTTTAGTATTATATTTAAGTTAACGTATGTGAAAAATGAAGAAACTATTTCAAAAACATTCAGATTTCTTGATCATAAATCGAATATTGGAATTCAGAAATTATATTTCTGTGAATCTGCAGAACAATTTGAACTCGAGGAAAATAAATGATGCGAAAGAAAGAGGATACATCTCTTACAGGTACGCTTCTTCATTCAAATATTTACCTTTTTGAGTTTTTAAGTTAATCACGACTAATGATATCATCAGAAAAATCTATTCATCGTAACCATAACGATTCTTCTGCTTGTCCGAGCCTAAATCTGTAGCACACTGACTGCAGAATTACATTAGCATGAAGAATCAGTCCTCTTTGGAAAGATCCTTAGGGAAGGCTGAGGTACTGGGGAGGGGGAGATAATCAACGAAAGTCACGTTCTGTACTTAAAAATAAAGGTAGGTATTTTCTTGGAGAAAATGTCCACCCCTCAAAGTAAGACGGACGCGTTAATAATTCAGGGGTCGTTAACAAATATTTATTCGTATTCGACGAGTAGAGGAAGTCTTGATAAATGAACGCAATTGTATACATTCTTCCATCTTACATTTAGCTTATTTGTGTATCATGAGCATGTGAGACTAACATAAATTTTAGACTATGAATTTTGGAATCATTTCTAATGTCTAAGTCTAGTCTATATTTGTCATCATCTGTTTGGATAAATAACTGTATGGGTTTCATTATTCTAGCTGTTTTATTAGATATAGGAAGTACTTATTCATTGTCGCACTTTATATCATTTTGAAGGACGTTTTCAAAGTGTACTTTTAAGATCACTTGAGTGAGATACACGTTTCGTGCCTACTATGAAAGATAACACGGTGCTGTTGCGCTAAATTTACAGTTAGAATTTTTCTTGTAGTTGTTTCAAGTCGCCTTCTGATATATTAAGCATGTTAAACTATAATTGATGTTTAATTTATTTAAATAGGCTTAATAAAGCGAAATTTGTAAAAGAATTCGAGTTATTCGTGACTATCTGCATCAATTTTAAACTGTTTATTTGAATTAATGACTTTTGTTTATATCAATTGCTGAAAGATGGCGCCACCAATTAATAATCTGAAAATTTAATCTTCCGTATGCTCTGAGCACTTTAGATAAAATAAAATTTAATGATTACCAACGGCAAAATGTAATCTGAGATCAAATCTGAATAAATCGAATATGTATGTGTATATATATATATATATACAAAACTGTTTATTTACTTAAATATTTAGTATATTTTTATTTTACCTCGTTAAGACATTTTATATTTTACACAAATGTTTCCTGAAAGGACTTTTTGTTATTTTAATAACTTTTTTTTATAAAAGATTTTAAATTAATTCTTTGTTTAAAAAGTTGCACAAAAAAAATTTGCATAGAATTTTTTTTTTTTAACTCGTGCATCATCTTTTTTTTTTTTTTTTTTTTTTTTTTTAAATTCTTAAACTTTTAAGGTGACTGTTTAAGACACATTACTTTTTAATTATTATTTTTTTTAATTATTATTGAAAGACATATTATTTTTATTAAAAGAATTTTATTATTAAAAAAGAAATTTATCGACACAATTTTTCTAATAGGTGCTAATAAACAAGTTGCATTAACGTCGACTTGTTTGGATAAGTTATGATTTCGTATTTGATACAATTCCTTAAACTTAATACCTAAATTATAACAAGCAGATAAATAAAAAATTTTCGGATCTGACAATTTATCACGCATATGTCTTACTTTTTCTTTGTATGAAGTTCTGACTAAATATTTTAATACCCCTTTTCATTCCTTCATTTCGAAGAAAATATGCATTTATTTAATCTTCCATATGTTCTGAGCACTTTAAAGCGATCGTGTGATAGTATTTCAGAATTAACATAAATACTACAACGAAATGAAGATTTTAAAAACATCAACAGTGTTTTAAAATGTTTTCTACTCTGTTTTATGTAGTTTAGGTTAAATGTTTGGCAAAATAAGATATAGAAAACAATCTTTTTCTGAATCACTGGTCCAATATTACAACCACAACTTATTGTAAGAAATATACGTGGACCTGTTAGAAGGCTATATTTCTACATTCACAAAAAAACCATTTAAAAAATTTATTGCAAATTACACACAGATTTCAAATAGACATTTTTGTAACAATCATTGTTTTTCTACAGTGGAATAGAAAATTTTTATCAGCATGTTAAACATTTTCCTACGCATCAAATTCATTTGAGATGTCTAGTAGCTTTTTTCACATTTCTTGATAGTTTAAAAATTTCAAATTTCTTATGGAATATAACGGAGAATTATATATTAATTCAACTGAACTCTTTTGAGTAAAATGAATCAATTGTTAATAAATGGTGCTATTTCAGTGTCAAGTATAAAAAGTTAATATTATCGTTAACTAAAGCTATAATTAAATGTGAAATAAAGAATGCTACATTGCGATAAGTGTGGCCCATTTTGGGATGTTTTTATGAACATTGTAAGAAATATCCTACGTTAAAATGATTTGTCTAGCATTTATCGTAAAAATGATCATTATAAAGGGATTAAAAAATAAGATAAGAAAGGTGATTACGAATCTCACTTTCGAACTGTATCGATTTCATTCACCGTAAAACTGGCTGAAACTCTATTTATTCATTAGTCACGTGTGCATTTTGTTACACGTGAATTTCAGAATATTTTGAGCTTTTCCCTTTCTCTAACATTTCCTCTGTGTCTTTCCAAAAGTAGGCAATGCTAGTATACATATACGAGATTTAGAGAATTTCTTATTTTAGCTTAGTTTACACTCTATGAAACTATCAATTATCCTACTGCAAATTATTACTGCATTTCGGCTTCACATATCTATACAGAAAGTCGCCATATCCAAGCGAAAGAAATTCCGCCATTTTGCTGGCATCTCAGCTGATGGTATTATTTATTTCACCAGCACGCGGGTGTTCACTGTGAGGAATAAGACGTGATTGGAGTTAGATTTCGAAATAGCAACTTGCATATCCTTATAGCATTTATCCTTATGCATTGATCGTGTTTGTTATTCTTACGATTAAATTTATTGTGAGTTACGACTGCTGTTCAAGGCTTTGAATAAATATATATAATTAACTCTGTTGTGTATTGAATTGGAGTAATGTAGTTTTCATATACTGACAATGTTTCGAAATATCAGTGATTTGTTACTTATAAATTAAATGTCTGCGTATGCTTAAAAATTGTTAGAAAAGCTTTGTACGCACAAATTGTTTGTTTTATTCTTTCTTGTAAAAATATTATTCTATATTTTTCGTTGCGTATAACTCTGCATAAGTGTAAGAAGATTATTTCTTCTGCATATTAGATCCTTAGACGAATAAAATCGTATTTTTATTTAAAATTTGATTGTTTATTTTTATGTACATAATGTTGTGTAGCAACTAATTTGATCTTCAATGTTATGTCTAAGTGCATCATATACTTACAAGTAACATTTATAAATATACAGAACACCAATATTAGACGATTTCCACTAACAAATCCACAGTATTTCTGTGTTTGATCGAAAGAATAAAGTAGTTTTATTAATAATAATTATTATATTAACCTTATATAATTATCCTTTTTTATAAGCAAATTATTTATGAAATTTATGCTGCAAAAAGTACTGTCTTCAGACTATGCTGTTACTAAAAAAATGGGCCTATTTCATGACTTTAGTCTGTCTAATAGCTCTCTGGACAGTGAAAAATTCCTTTTTTCCTTTCTTAAATTCTTAATCATTGTGACACGACAATTAGCCAAAAATTAATTAATTTCCATTCAATAGTATTTTCAAAAAAATCTTAACACACAGTTCTCCCTCAAATAAGAACTCCACATAATACATCCCTTCAAGAATTCCGAGTCCAACCCACTACCATAAATTACTTCACCCAAGTCTTACCGACTGATATTATTCAAAGCCCCCACTGCCGCTAAGAATTTTCGGACACCCAACACTTATGAGTCAGACACGAAGAGAATACTTTGCCAACTCCCCCACTAGAAAGAATGTAAGTTACTTAATACCTTTTCTGGCCTTTATATCTTCATGTACATTCACTGTTCTTATTATATATTTTTTTACATTTTTTATATTACTTTATATTGTCTTTGATTTGTTTTTACAAACTTTGCATTATTTATCTTATTTTGTAATCTTCTATGTTTATTTCAACTTTACTTTGAATTCGATTTCATAATAACAATTTCCAATGTTTAATTTTTACAAATAATATAGAACTCAAATGCATAAACATGAAGGTGTCGGGGACGGTTACTCGGGTTATATCGGATTTCTCTACAGATTTTGCTTTTTACTTCAAATTGAATTGACAAAATTGCTTCATAAGAATAAGTTCTTTGACTATAAGCATTTGGATCATAATCCCTTCTATTCGCGGAAGATATTTAGGCCTATTTGACTAGAATTGCCGGTTTGGCTTTAACTTATAACTCGAGTAAAGACGAAAACACCTTCGTATTTACGTATTTTTATCAATTATTGTTCGTTGAACGGGAGTTGGTTTGTTCCCCTTGAAAAGTCAATTAATTTCCGATCAATGACAATGATTACATGTTTTTAATTTTCCTTTTACAATTGAAATTTTATTCTTCATGATGGTTTAACTCTAGTCCCCGTTAAAACATTTTTAACATTTTGCTTTCAAATTACTTCAAAACATCTTTCGAAATATAACTTACCATTACCAGTATGGATTCACTCTTTTAAAATAATTCTACTTTAATTAAACTTAGGAGATAATATAATCAATTAATCAATATTGTTTAGGAAATATAAATTAAAAAAAAAAATCTTTAAACAATTTATTGTTTAAATTTTATTATAGACGTCTGATAAGGACTAACTGAAGGGTACGAACTTAGTTAAAGGATTTTTGTCGCTTAACTCCCATCCGCCATACTCGCCAAACCTCGTTCCAAGTAATTACTACATATCTGGACCACTTCAAGAGGCGATGGAAGGAAAGAAATTTCTTTCCGATGAAAAAGTGCGCCATAAGGTGCAAGAGTGGCTGCTCACACGACCACAAGATTTTTTTTTTTTTCAGAGCAATTGTGCACTTCTTGTGCGCTGGAGCAAGTGTATTGAACATGAGTGAGACTATGTTGCAAAATGATACATTTATAATCTATTTTTATTCAATAAATCGCATGTTATAAAATGTTTAAGGTTTTTCAGTTGACTTACCTTTGTACAAATACAAATATTTCGCTCTTTAATTTGTGTGCAGGTCCCTGAATATGATCTCCGATTTTTATATCAAACAAATTTTCCTTAATATTAAGCACAGAAACCGAAAGAAATTATAAAAAGTTAGATTTCATATTTTATTCAAAACTGATTTTTTAACCCTCTAAGCGGCACTAGATTAGGCTAAAAAAGCCTAAATTTCCCAGAACTACCGTGAGAAGGATGTATTTCCTTAATTTCCAAAACGTCTCTGGAAGTTTATGATGCCTAAATTTGTGTATTTTAAAAATATTGTCTTAATTTCTTGGACATATTTTAAGATGCAAGCTCATACGCTTTTTTTAAGACGCCACAAAACGTATTCTGAGCCGTATGTATACGGTCTTGCCCGTCAGACGGTCTTCAAGAATAAGAAAAACATGAAGCTTTGCTTCATTTAAAACATTTCTGTAGTTCGAAGTATATGTTTACGAACAACGATAGCAAAAATAAAGGCCGGATAAAGAATTTTTTTTTTTTTTTTTTTTTTTTTTTTTTTTTTTTTTTTTTTTTGTGGACATAATGTACATGTATGTATATTTATTTATGCAGATGCTTAAAGAAAATAATATACCCACACAGGTTATTCTTAAAAAGGCTGGCGATCAATCTCAAATTTAATCCTTTAACTAAAAAGTGATAAGCTAATAATAAGCTAACTAATGATAAGCTTATCCGAAATCTTGAAGGACGGTA